TCATTTTATTTATTCAATAAACGTACAACCAGAAAGTATTATGATTAATGGTTTTTCTAAGTATTTGGAATATTCCATTACTTTTTATATTTTAATCAAGGAAATTTCTCAAAGCATTAGAAATTTATAAAGAAATTCTCAAGAACAGCCTGCATGGTGTTGAATATCAAAAAAAACACTTCAATCTGAGATCTATCTGGTAAATATCTTGATAATAAACTTGGATTTACATTGTAATTACATTTGCACACGCATTTCATAAAAATACCATCCTAAAAATAATATACTTGAATTGGAAGGAATAAAAGTTTTAGTCAATGCACTTTGCAAGAACACCACACTGACTTCTTTAAATATTAGCAGTAATAGACTCGAATCAGATATATTGACTGAAGCACTTTGCAAGAACACAACTTTACTTTTTTGAATATTGGAGTGAAATCAGAAATAACCAATCATTAATCATAAATCTATTTCTTTTTTTTTTATGGTTTGTAAATTTACAAAATTTTGCAACCCATAATAATTAATTGCATTCAATTAATTGTACTTATAATCAATTATTCAGTAGGCCTGGTTCTCAAGTGATTGTATATCCACGTGATAACGTGCGAATATTTTATTGGACTGCATAAATTAGGAATTTGTATTACCGTTGTTACGAAAAATGATGTAATCTTTAACATTAAACTTTTCTTGTATAACTATAATAATTTAGATAATGATTGAACCTATATTATACTTTGAGCACGTCCGTAATCTGTGACAGGTTAAGCCACCGATTTCAATCACCACCTTAAATCATGATGTATTTAGTAATTTGAAAAGGCTTATCATTACGAAGTTAAAGTTGAATATATAAAACCGATTTTATTGTATTTGATTATTCTTTATTTTTTTTCGATTTTATAAATTAAAAATTTTTTTTATATCTAACATGAGTAAAGTGCGCAAATTAAAAGTTTAAATAACCTATCGACTTATAATAAGACTTACTGTAAAAGAGAATCAATTTTTTAATAAAATGCAGAATTTCGATATATTTGTTAAAAAAAAAACTTATAAAACGGCATTAAGAAAATGGATGAGAACGATATTTCCGTCATCACATCATTTTTAGTTATTAATTGGGCTGGAGCGGAGTGGAACGGAGTGTAAGACCTATCCATGGTGTACTAATTTAGGGTGATGTCCGGCTCCCGCCCCTGTAATGACGATAATATTGATTTTGTCTGCCCCTGTTGAAATTTAATTAATCAGAAATCGAATGATAAATAAAGTCAACTATGTAATTAATAAAAAAATTTAATTAATCAGAAATCAATCAATAAAGAATGATAAATAAAGTCAACTATGTTAATAAAACAACTATGTAATTAATAAACAACTATGTAATTAATAAAAAATTTTAATTAATCAGAAATCAATCAATAACGAATGATAAATAAAGTCAACTATGTAATTAATAAAATAAACTTATAACGATAAATAAACTATGACTAATAATAACGATAAATAAATTATAACTAATAATTTATCATATTGAAGTTCTCTAATTTGTCATATTGAAATTCTCTGATTTGTCATATTGAAGTTCTCTAAAATGCAAAAACATAAAAGAATTTACACACCTGAGCAAAAAACTGCAAGAAATAATGCTCGAATAAGGAGATTAGCTTCTATGACACCTGAAGAACAATTAAGTTACCAAGATAATGAATCAGCAAAAAGACAAGATCGGCGTAAACATCAAAATACTGTTGAAAAAGAAAATGTAAACCCAAATGATGAACGTAATATTAATTTATATGTTTAAGAAAATCACAAATTATAAAAATGTGTGAACGATGTATTAACTAAAGTTTTTTTTAGAAAATCAATCCGTTTTATCACTACCGCTTGCCTGTCAGCTTTCAAATGAAGATTGTAGTCTTTTAAAGAAATTTCATGAAGCAGTTTCTGCGCTTAAATTCAACTTCTGTCCTATCTGTAAAAAGAGTTTTCCTACTATCGTATTAGTACATAAGACAGGTTTATGCAATAGATGCAATAGAGAAAAATTAATAAGAAGGTTTTCAGCTGAGAATGATATGGATCCTGGTGCGTAAAAAAAATATATATATACTGATTAGTAATAAAAAGACTGCAATACTAAAATGTTGTATCTTCAGGAGAAATTTCCGCTGAGCTTCCTTAACTTAGTCAAGTGGAAGAAATGCTTATTGCACAAATTCTTCTGATGTTAACTGTTTACAAGCTCCAAGGTGGACAGCTTGGATACCGAGGTCATGTGATTAATTTTGCTCAAGACATTCAAGAGCTTATTACGAAGTTACCTCGAAATCCTTCCATGATTGATACTTTAATTATTCGAAAACCTAATCATGATTTTACATCATTTCAAGAATTTAAGGTCAAACGGTCAAATATTTTAATCTGGTTAAATTATCTTAAAATCAATAATCCTTTTTATTCCAATATTGAAATCGATTATGATATATTGAATACTCATCCAGAAGATGGTTCTATATTTGACCGATTATGTACCGTAGATAATAACAATTTAATAACTGAAGACACAGTTTTTTCCAATTATAATCAGGATTGTAATGTGTCTAATATTCGTGAAGACTATATTAAATATTCTTTTATCCCTAATCCTATTTCTAAAGAAACCGAAGAGGTTGCTACATATACTGAAATAAACCAGCTTGTGAACACAAATACTGCTGTACCAATTGATTGGCCTACTATTAAAGATTGTCCTATTAATGAATTTGAAGAGGTTGGTTACATAATTAAAGCATTTCCTACTTTATTTCCTAGCGGAAAAGCAGATTTGCATAGTACTCAATGACGCCGACAGATATATCCTGCGGAATACTTCGAACATTTAATAAAATATTATGATGGACGATTTGCATGTCATAAAAGATTTTGTTATTTTGCATTAAACACTATAATGAGATGGAAAGCACTTGAAAAAGGTAAAATATTTGTATGGCAAAATCTAGAAGATATATATCTTACAGCAGAAGATATTCAGGAATTACTTAATATTAATAATTCGCTACCTAACCAAATTGTTCGATATGGCAATACTCTTCGGGAAACATAGCCTTATTGGAAAAAAATGCATAATGAACTTATTAATATGATCAAACAAGTTGGTGCAGATGGGTTAATATTTTTTACATTTAGTGCAGCCGATTTACATTGGCCGGACCTTCACAACCTTATGCCAAATACTAGCAATAATATAGATATTAGCTTAATACAGGCTGCTCAAACACGTTATCATAATCTAAATGAAAATCCACATATAGCAACATAGTTTTTTATGCATCGATTTGAGTTATTTTTAGAATATGTGTTAATACCGAAGTGGGGTCTTAGCAATTATTGGTATCGATACGAGTGGCAGCATCGGGGAAGTACACATGTACACGGTATCGGAAAAGTTTCTAATGCACCAGTTGTTGACTGGAATGCTATGCAACAGGATGAAAATTCAATGAACAATATAATTGCATATGTTAATTCAATTGTTACAGCCATGAATCCAAATACAACAACAATATATACCTCGGAACAACATCCCTGTCAAAAATCATTAGACAAATTAGTAGATGATTTTGATAACTATTGCCAATTAGTCAATAAAGTTCAAAAGCACACAAAATGCTTATCGTCTTGTCTTGTACTAAATAAAAGGACAAATTCAGAAGAATGTCAGTTTGGCTATCTGAAAGAATTATGTAATTTTACTATGGTTTGACCTGATAATAATGATCAACCAGAACTATTTCTATGTCGTAATGATCCATTAGTCAATCCATATTCCAGAATTCAACTTCAAGGGTGGAGAGCTAATGTGATATAAAACCTATTCTTTCTCTTCACGCTGCACTATCTTATATTGCAAAGTATGTCAGCAAATCAGAACTTCGATCAGATATGTTTAAAGAAATATTTTCAAATTATCTTAAGAATGTAAGATCCGATGAACCAGCTTTAAAATCGATTCAAAAGCTTCTATTACATACAATAACTGAACGTAACTTTTCTGCCCAAGAAACATCACATCTTCTTCTTAAATTACCATTAGTTGTATCATCCTGCACATTTTTTATACTTAGTCTTAATGAAGATGGCGCATTACGTGAATTAACTTATAACAATAATAACAATAATGATGACAGTAAACAAGATGAAAGTAATAATACTGCATCAATTAGAACTGAATATTCTAATTTGCAAATCTATTGAGAACGTCCTTCTATTTTTGAAACGTATTCCTTATTTAATTTAAATAAAAGTTATATATATAGTTCATATACACATAATTGGACTTCCCGCAAAAAGCATTGTATTATCTGAATTTGGCCTCGCCCGTCATCAGTTCGTTTTGGGCCAGAATGGAAAGATTATTGTAGATTAAAGGTTCTTCTCCATATTCCTCATCGAAGCATAAATGATTTTTATCAGGACAATGCTAATATTGATTGGATTGAACTATATAATCAGTTTTCTATTGAAATAGAACTTGATGGAAATGATTTACTTGGTAAACCAATGGAAAATAAGGAAGACAGAGAAAGTAACGATAACGAATATAAAAAACTTGAAGACGATAATACATTGCTTCAAGAATCTTGGATGCAAATATCTACAAGGTGTTTAGAAGCTGCAACTGATGATCTTGGAGAACGCTTTATTGACACTAATAATATGTGGTCGGGATCGTATGAAATATTTCCGAATCTTAGTGAAGCAGGATTATTTTTAGAGCTAGCTAAACGTAATCAGATCGAAAGCAATTTTCATAACAATAATGATGAGGTTTTTATTGATCCAAGTACATTAAATGACAAACAAAAGGAAATTTACAATTATGTAACTTTATATTATTCTAAAACTTTAACAAATTCAACCAACCAATCAATTGAGCCTTTACGTGCTATTATTATGGGTACTGCTGGTACTGGTAAATCCTATGTAATTAAGGCCATTCGTAATCGTATATTTGAAATAGCACGAGAACATAAAATTGATCCAAAGGAAGAACCACCTATCTTAATTCTCGCACCAACAGGTGTTGCAGCATTTAATATAAATGGTTGCACAATTCATTCAGCATTGTCTCTACCTATTAATTTTAAAAATATAAAACTCAACCCTGAATCTTTAAGAAAGCTTTAACAAAAATTAAAAAGCGTTAAAATTATTGTTTTTGATGAAAAAAGCATGATTGAACGTAGACTTCTAGCAGTAATTGATCAACGTTTATGTCAGGCTTTTCCACAAAACCAAAATATTTTATTTGGAGGTTGCTTAGTATTGTTTTTTGGTGACTTTGGCCAGTTGCCGCCAGTTTTAGACCTTCCTATGTATGTTTCAGATTCTCGACCAAATGATTCTCTTTCAGAAGCAGGTCACATGATCTATGCTCAATTTAATAAGGCATTCAAATTAGAAATAATACAATGACAAAGCGGTGATACTGAAGAACAGCACATATTCTGTGACCTTCTTTTACGTTTACGAAATGGACAATCAACAGAATATGACTGGCAGTTACTTAATAATAGAATTTATTCATTAGCACCTTTAGTAGCAAAAAATGCTTTTGAAAATGCAATTCGATTATTTACAAAATGGGAAAAAGTTCACGAATACAATTTGACGAAACTAAGACAACTCAATTTGCCTGTTGCCAAGATGAAGGCTGTACATACTGGTCCAAATGCTAGAAAAGCATCTTCTGATATTACAAACGGCCTTGAACCGATTTTATTTTTATCGATTGGTACTCATAAAATGCTTACCTCTAATATTTGGACTAATTACGGATTGGTTAATGATGCAATGGGAATTGTCATCGATATTATATATAAACTAGGAAGATACCTCCCACATTGCCTACACTAATACTGCTCAAAATGGATAATTATACAGGTCCAACACTGACTACATCAAATGGTTCGCAAGCAGTGCTGATTTGCCCAATTAGATATACATGGGAAGGAAAATCTGGAATTTGTTCTCATATGCAATTTCCATTGTGCCTTGCTTGGGCAATTACGATTCACAAGTCGCAAGGTTTAACATTATCACGAACTGTATTAGACATTGGCAATAAGGAATTTGCTATAGGTCTTACATTCGTAGCTGTATCAAGAGTCTGTACTCTTTCTGATCTTCTTTTCAGTAGTACTTTTTCTTATGATAGATTACAAAAATTGGGAGAAAGTACACGTCTACAACAAAGATTAGCTGAAGAGAAGAGATTACTTTCTTTGTAAATTATTAAATTGGAGTTTGTCTTTTCATATGCGCATCAATACATACTAATAAAATATTCATTAAGTTATATTTTAAATACTCAGTAACAATGTTAAAATTTTTATACAAATTTGAATCATTTGAACACCTAATACATAAGGCTCCAGGCCTATGAAACGTCGCCGTTTTATTACTAGTATTAAAAGCAACTTTTGAATTTATAAAATTTTTTTTAATAGCTTATGACAGTCAAGTCTTACTCTGGGAATATAATCAGACGGTGATTGAAATTAGTGGCTTAACCTGTCACAGATTACGGACGTGCCAAATGATGTGATAATGACAAATAATTGTAGAATAGTCAAATACGGTTATTAAACAGAGTATATTTACAAATACAAGTGACTCTCGATAGAAAAAACTTTTGCTACAAGACTTTGTAAATCCTAATTAAGAATTTATATAAAAAACCGATATAAGATTTTAACTGGACCAGGCAACTTTCTTATATTAAGAGTCACTTATATTAATGACTTAATCGAAAAAATTGATATTTAATGCAGCAGAAATTGTTACAGAATAAGCCAGAATAGTTTCTGGTGCGATTTAATATATAACTAAATTAACCAAAATTGACATCCGATGTCTAGTTTAAGTATATATATTTTCAGTGTAATTTCGCTACTATTTGTCGAAGCGAAAGAATTATAGATAGTGATGGGACTACATAGCTTAGAAATTAAAACATCATACGCTATGGTTTATTTAAAAAAAAAAACGATTCTAAAAAACTATTAAATTATTAAATGCGACAATTAAGTATCACCATCGCTGATTATAGACTTCTAATTTTGAATATAGAATTTTGTTATTCGGAAAAAATTTAAACTCAGTTTCATAACATTTTTTTAGGGGTATACTAGGGAGGCTCATTTAAGATCACTCTTATCATCATTCAACTGCTATAATCTGTTTATTTGACATTAATTAACAAACTCGCGTTAATTTCTAAACTTAATTACACTTAACCTTATCCCTACTTATTTCTTTGCATTTGGATTATTTCATATTCTGTTACTGAAAATCTGCCGATTGCATTTCTAATTGCTTTTTCATAATGATAATGACCAGACCAACATCCCTCATCTTGATTAAAATTATCATACATGAAAAGATCACCAAAACATGGACCATTAATAGAACCACAATAAATTGCATATTGTGGCTTTTTTACACGACTTAATATAGAGGAACTCATAGTACCATTTTTCAATGAAAAAATAAAGTTATCATTGCAATTTACATAGTCACCAATTAACTTATTCCATTTTTTAGAATTATAACCACCAAGAATTTCGTCAGAGTTTTTAACTTTCATTAGCACAATAGTATTTGCTTGCTTATTACATAGTTTCCAAAATGATTGATTAGTAAAACCATCTCTGGTTCCACGAAGAAGTAATTTAAACTCATACGGGTTATTTGCTACTGAATATGGTTTATTTCTATTATCAACCCATGTTGCAATTTCTGCTACATGTTCTTCAGTAATAATTGTTGAAAATGAATCCGTCGTACGCATTGGTAATCCTGGTGTTAAAATTATTCGAGGTGGAAGAACTATTGATGATATTCGTCGATTTGGATTTACAGCTCTTTTCATAATGTCATTCCAAAGGTTTCTGTCTAAAATTTGATGATATGGTTGAACATTATCAACAATATCGTCCCCTGATATTTGAAAATAACGGATATGTGATAAACAATTCTTTAATATATTTTTTAAAGCTAGAAACTTTTCACCAGTCCAATTTTCAAGTTCACCAGATAATAAATCTGAATTTTGTGCGATTCCCCATTTAATGACATAATTCCAAATTTTTATTTCTTCCATTTGTAAATCATCTCGTTTAATAAGAGAGACTAATGCATTTTCTTGAATTGTTGCAAAATCTTCAGAGTCAAAAATCTTATTTGGATACTTTACTAAAAAATCATTACACCAATTTTGTAAATTTTGGAACTGATTATCTTGGAAACATTTTTGGTAGATACGTGCAAAATGTAAACGAAGCCAATTAGCTTTTGTTTTAATTAAATAACTTTCAAAATGTTTAGTCAACTCTTCTAAAAGAAACTCTGAAGCAATCAACATGAGTTCAAAAATAAATGATGCTTCTTGACCATCTAATAAAACCAACCCTCCGTAAATATATCTTTATTAAGTTTATATATTTGGATTTTAAGGTTAGTTTTTAATGCATATTTCGATATTATTAAAAACATGAAGTTAATAACTTACTTAATAATAATTTCAAATTGTTGAATAGTAACATGATTTAAATTAATTGTTTTAATATTGTTTGTATCTTTGCTAGTGTTGGCCAATTTATTACGAAAATATAATGATCTATATTTTAAAACATTCGAATGTGCTCGGAATATCTTTGTATTTGGTGATTCTCCGACATTAAAAATTACATTAAAATCTTCTTTATCATCAAGAAGTTCAAGGTAATCTGTCGAAAGTTTTTCTAAATGTTTTATTGCCATCTTTATTGTGAGAGTTTTTTTAAAACGTAAATCAAATTCTGACTACTTTAATACTATCAGAAAATGGTTACACTACATAGATATTGTTATACAAGAATCTGTATTTGAATCTATCAATATCGATATAGGCTAATTAAATTAAAGCTTATCGTTATAGTCGACTTATGACCATTTAATTATATTATATAATTACACGTCACTTTGGTTATATAAAAATAAATTGCCCATATACCCAGATGTTGATTTAACCAGAAATTTTTAAAAAATGTCATTACAATCAGGTGTCGGTATATCCAAATGTCAATATAACCAGAGTCACGATTAATTTTTCACAATCTTAGTTCAAGTTGCGAAGTCAAAATGAATTTGTCCGGTTAAATCACATCATAATAAACAGGTTTACAATTATTATTATTAAATTTTAAAGTTTTGTAATCGTTAGTTTAGGCTTCTAATTCAGAAATGAATAGAATTGTTTAAGCTAATTTATTTAAACAGGTTAATATATCAATAACAATATTGTCATAATGATAGATTTTGTATCTCGAAAATTTGTAGTCTATGATTTCGGTTATGTAACATTGAGTTAGGGTCAAGAATTATACGATTATATTGTATAATAAATATTACGATATAATAAATATTATACTGTATAATTCACAACCTAGTTGGGGTATTCGGTCATATTTAAATTAATTGGTTTTTAAATTTAGAATGATTAAATTTTTTACATATATTTTATTAATAATAAAGAATTACTCGCATGTTTTTAGGTGTCTAGAGTGAATTGGTTTAAATTCAATTATTTTTGCATAAATCTATGCTTAATTCTTAGCATAGACATAATAAGAAATGAGAATGTATTTAGAAGGTTGCTCTTTTCCTTAGCTCAGAGAAAAGAATGCTCTCTAAAATCGTCTCTAAATAAAGGATACATAAACCTACGTTCTTTTATATAATAAATGCCTACTAATCATATAAAATCTGAATTCCTTAATTTGTTATTATGCATTGCATCTCTCTTACATAAACCATCAGAGTTAAACTCGGCATGGTTGTTGGAAGCTCTTCCATTAGATGGAACTCTATGAATGTTAATTCTAACTAATTTAAATATATTGTAAGGTTTTTTTTTTACAGCATATCATATACAAGTAAATATCCAACAAATATTAATTTTAACTAATCTAAATATTTTGTTTGTCAATACAGTCTATAAGTTTTTTTTTTACAGCATATCACATACAAGTAAATACCTTAATGAATGTTAATTTTAACTAATCCAAATAATACAAAAAATCATGAGTCCAATCCTTAAAAAGTTTAGGCTAAATGACCAAGTTGATTTTTTTGTTAACATAATTTTTTTTGATCAGAATCAATTGATATATCTATATTAAATATACAAAAGATCATCAAGTAGTTTCTTTCAAGTCTAATAATTTTAAATTATTTAATTTTTATTTGTTTGTTGATAAATTTTCTATATCTTGTTTATTTTCTAAAAACAAATATTAATAAATAAATTTGCACAACTGCTGCTATAACAAAAAACCTAAAACCTCCTTTTTGATATTTTTTTGAACTATAAAATATATATAACTCATAATATTTTTAAAATGATCAATAATTTCAATAAAAATGATCTAAAAAAAATTCAAGCATCAATAAATAACTTAATGATATCTTTATTAAATAAACAAATATCTTTAGTAGAGTAGATTATTAAGTTAAAAACATTAAAATTATAGCTAATATTTAAAGTAGAAGCTGACTATGTACTTAAATCTGGTAATTGTAATATTTTAAACCAGTTTTATTATGTTAAACCATTTTCAATATAAAAAAATAATCCCAAATCAATTCTCTAAGTAATCAAATTTTAACTTGTAAACTATTTATAATATAATAGATAATCTTAAACTTACTGATTAAATCTATCTGAATAAAAGATGTAATTAAAAACTATAATAAATTACAAATTACTGAAATGAATATACATATTATGCATTACTTCTCAATTTATGTTGATTATTAATTGATGCCTGTCATTTTTCAAATTCCAATTTTTAATGCAGATTATACATATTATAACTTATTAATAATGCTAATAATTAAATAAATAAATTTCAAAAAATATTTTTTATCATGTATTTTTTTTTCTCTTTCTACTAATGAATCTGCAAAATTGAGACCTTTAACTGAATATTGGAAATATACACAGACAAAAAAAAAACAAACAAGTTTAATAGATAGAGAATATTGCAATAAATGTCTTAAGATATTAAAAATCTCACTAAACAAAATATTACACATTCAATTTATAATATTCAGGAACATTAAACTTATAATGTTTAATACTCAAGTCATATAACTTATACTATGCAAGAACAACCTAAGAACACTTAACTCATACATTCTAAAATAAGTAAATAAAAAAAATTCAAATTTCAATTAAAATTTTACT